GCCGCGCGCCCAGGCCAGCTCTCGCCCCCAGCCAGCCAGGCCAGGCCAGGGCATGTGTCTGGCTTCAGGAAAGGAGGGCTAAGACACTCAGTCTCCAGGGGACAAAAGAGGAGACATGGAGACTTAAAGAGGCACTGAGGTCCCCACCCCAAACACCAGCACCCCATCCACGGGAGCCAAGCTCACTTAGTCCACTTCACTGGGAGGCCAAGGGAGGGAGTGGGGACAACCATCCTGTCCATCATTTTTAAAGTGTCCTCTGCCTACATCCTCTGCCCAGGCCTATCTCAAAGCCTAAGCCCACGTTCGTGCAGCTTAGGAGAGATGGTCAGTGCCTTGAAAGATCCTCCGATGACCAAAGACAAGAGCAGGGAGCAGGCTAGTGTGGAAGCACTGCCCGGCTGTACAGACATCTGCTCATTAGAACATTCTGGGTCTGGGCCGGCACTGACGGGCCCCTCAGGGCTGGGAGATCAGAATTCCTATTTGTGCATCAAAATACACTGTTAGGCCTGAGAAGCCAAAAAGGAAATTAGAGGCACTGGAAGAGTCCCTGGACCAGAGATCCGCAGGCAGCCGCAGCAGGCAGGCGGGGCTCCTGCTGCTGTTTCCGCACGGGTGATTTTGGGAAGGGGGCGTTTCTTTAGGGGATCATCAAGTGAAAAACATGTCCAGCTTGGAAAGTGAGTCTGTGTTTGTGCACTCCCTTCTGGCTCAGCTACATCAATAAAAGTGGTTTCGTTTGCTCAGATGTTTCAAAATGTCTTTGTCTCGGTTTGGAGCCTTCTGTCCATTATACCTTACTGCTGGTTTAAGAACTAAGCTGCCAAGGAGGGGAAGATGGAGCGAAACTGTTCAGCTCCATGATCAGAGTCCACTTGGACTGGCCAGCAGGCAAAGCTACAGTGTAACCCGGCCAGCTTCCCCTCCCAGAACTTACCCGCCTGAGGACATGGAGTCCAATGTTAGTGCTCTGCTTTAGCCTTAAACCAAAACCAAAAAAAAACCCAAACCCACTGCCATGGAGTCAATTCCGACTCATAGCGACCCCGTTGGGTTTCTGAGCCAGTAAGTCTTTAAAGTAGATTGCCCTATCTTCCTTCCCCAGAGCGGCTGGTGGGTTTGAACCGCCAACCTTCTGGTTGGCCCTCGGCACTGTGACACCACCAGAGCTCCCTGCTTTAGCAAGGTCAGCATTTAGGTAACTTGAAAGGCGCAGGGAACGTTTTATAGCCAAGAGCACTAGGGCTAGGCTTAATTCTCAACCCATTATCTGGGATGACTAGATGGGGCACCCAGCTTGCACCACCAACCTGCAGTCCCCACGCCATACCTTGTCCTGGTGCCTAACCTGGTGGAGAAGGAGTCACCAGCTCTAACAGCTGCTAACCAGGCTGATCCGTCAGAGGTGCTGCAGAGCCAGGGAGGGCTTGTGAATAAATCCCCCCCCCAAGTCCACACTGGGCTGAAATTCCATGCCTCAGCCTGTGATGGATGTCTGTTCCCCTCCACTCCCCCTTCTAGGAGCTTCGTGCCTGGGTGAGGTAATGACAGAGGTGCCTCCCGGCACTGAAAGCCCAGCCATCCCTTGACAGCCTCCGAATGCCCACTGCTAGAGCCACACCTGTGGCAAGATATGACCTTGGTGTTTGCAGAGAGATCACATTCACCCCGTGTTTGCTCTCCTGTGAGTCATGAAACCGCACAAGTACAGACATTGAGTCAATCTGGGAAAAGATGGTGTTGGGGTCCTGAGGTCCAAACGTGGGGTCCACACGTCACCCTACTGTCCAACACCTCAAGATCGGGGCAGAAACCAAACCAAATCAACTGCCGTCCTGTTGATTCCAACTCACAGCAACCCTCCGGGACAGAGTTACAAGGGCCCTGTCGGGTTTCCAAGGCTGTAATCTTTACGGAAGCAGACTGCCCCATCTTTCTCTTGCAGAGGGGTGGTATGTTCAAATCACTGACCTTTCAGTAAGCAGCTGAATACTTTAACCACTGCGCCACCAGAGCTCAAGATGGGGGTTTCCCCTTACAAGCTGTTGCTGTTAGCTGCCCTTGACCCGGCCCAGCCAGGTTGACCCCAGCACAGTGGTGTGGTGCCATCCCCATGGCTACGGACCGGACGGCTGTGGCCCAGCGGGTCCCCATGGCTGATGTCAGAAGCTCATCACCGGGCCTTACTCCTTCTCAGTCTGAAAGCTCTGCTGAAACCCATGCAGCGTCCTAGCAACATGCCAGTCCCCCCAACAGAGGTCCACTGGCCGGGACTTAACCCGGGTCTCCCGCGTGGAAGTTGCTGGCTGTGCAGGTGTCGCTGTAGGCACCTTTGTGCATGAACGTGTGGCGCCATCCTAACTCCAGAGCCTGGGTTCCACGGTTACCTCTGTTTGACACCTCAGGTGCTTCAGGGGACGCAGCAGGCCCGCACCCAGCCCGGCCCCTGCAACCCTGGGTGGGCATTTGCCTGTGCGTGTCGGGAGGAAGCCTGCGGGCTGCTGTGTCTCGTGGCCGCAGAGCAGCTGCTGCAGTAGCGGAGGGACGTCCAGCAGGGAGCATTGGTTTATCAGACTTCCTGTGAGCGGAGCACAAGCCTGCATTCAGAGAGGAGGAAAACTACCACCTCCCTGCTGAGCACTGCTTCCAGAGGACGCCGCACGGCCCTGAGCTTACTCAGAGCGGCCCCACGGGCCGCAGCACGCCAGACCCGGGGGGCTGGCTGAAAACACAGAGCCCCAGGCCTCACCCCAGACTTACTGAGTCCCCATCTGAAAGTTAACTGGATGCTCTGGCACCATGTCACAGGGCCTCCCAGGAAATGCAGATTCCTGGGCCCACAGCGAGCCCAGCCACACGAAGCGCTGGGAAGTGGGCTTGAGGCCTCGTCTCTGAGCACCTTGCTCAGCTAAAGTTCACACGCACTAGAGGCTGCGGGCTTTCGGCCTACCCCCCAGGTACTGTTCCTGTGGTTGGGTGCCATCCAGCCGATGCCGGCTCCCAACGACCCCACGCGACAGAGCACAACTGCCCCAGAGGGTTTCTAGATGTCACCTTTAAGGGAGCAGATGGCTGGGCACAACTCGTGAGGCAGG